TAACAAAACGCGAGCTCATTATTACTCGCAAAGTAAAACTAGATTGTGTTTTTTTTTTTTCATTTTTTTTATATTTTTTTCGTTCAATTACAGTTTTGCCAAAAAGCACAATTTTGATAGAAATGATCACAAATGTTGTGATATTTTTTCATTTTTGAATATATCTTATAAATTTCTATAGATTTGCCAAAAAACTTTTGCCACGCCCACTCCAACGCCTACAAACCGCCCAAAACTGTCACGCCCACACTTTTGAAAAATATTGTGATAACCTTTAACCTTTTTATATATTTTGTAAATTTCTATAGATCTGCCAAAAAACTTTTTGCCACGCCAACTCCAACGCCCAAAAACCGTCACACCCACACTTTTGATAAATGTGATACTTCTTCACGTTATTTATATCTTGTAAATTTATATATATTTGCCAAAATACTTTTTGCCGCGCCCACTCTAACATCCACAAACCGTCTAACACTCTCCTGCCCATTTTAGAAAATGTTTAATTTTTTTCATTTTAATTTTTCCCCACATTTTACCGATATTTCAGAAAATTTTGAAATTTTTTGATTGCACTTCCACAAGCTGAGTAACGGGTATCATCTCATTCATTCCATTGTACGGTGGTTGGGTGATATGCAACTACGCTTACTATTACATTTGAGTTACTATCACAGCGATAGATTTCTTTTAGTATTTAACTTTTGAAAAATTTCAGACCTAGTGGTCTTAGCCTAAAAAAGGCTAAATTGGCAGCGCTGCTGGAGGAGCTTCGGGCAGAGCAAATTATGCAGTCGCATACTTAAGCAGAAGTATGCAGGCCCCAAAACAGGCGTCTAAAAAAAAAAGCAGCATTTAAAAAAGTGGCACAAAATTTTTGGTAACAAAATTTTGGTAGTGGTATTCACCCGAAAAAAAAAACTAAATACCGCCAAAGAAATATTTACTCGTAGAGTAAAAGAGTTTACTATTACAGGTAGAAGGAAGCGTTTCCGACTATATGAAGTATGTATACTTTTGATCAAGATCAATAGCCGAGTCGATCTGGTCCAAAATTGACACTTTAACACTTTCGGAAAATGTTAAGATATTTTTATTAGTTTTGTAAATTTCTAACGATTAGTAAAAAAAGCTTTATCCCACAATGAAACCAATCCCATGTTTGGTACCAGCTATTGTGAAATTTTTGATTTCAAAACATGAAAAACAAAAAACCAAACCGGGCTGTTGTGGAATTTTCGATTCCAAAAACGAAAATCAATTTAAATTGGTATATTCAAATATCGAATATCGAATATTCAAATATCGTTTTCCGTCCATCCGATACCCATTACTCCGCTAGTAAAAGAGCGAACAAGAAATATTCAAATTTTTCTGGCATATTGATAGAAATTTAAATATTGTAAAAATGTTTCAATGTGTGACAATTTTGGTCATGTCAACAGTTTGAGAATCTATCTCTAGAATCTGCATGCTCTATCTCAACACTCAACACACGGACATGCCCAGATCGACTGGGCTATTGATCCTGATCAAGAAAATATATACTTTATAGCGTCGGAATCGCTTCCTTCTAGCATTTACAATATATATAGCAAATCTAGTATACTCTTTTACTCTACCAGTATCGAGTGTAATAAAATATTGCCATTGCAGGTTACAAAGAGCCATACTCTAATTTGTTAATATCTATAAAAGGCCAATGAACTTTCATTAGTGAGACTGAAATTTAAAGATAATGCAAATTTTTATTTTGTATATTATACATATATATACACGGACAACACGACCACAACACAAACTTGATAGAAAGAGTATTAACTGACGAAAATTTTTTTTTGACTTTAGAAGATATTTTTATACAAATTATAGAGAAGAGATTTGCTTATGAAATTACCCAAAAACAAAACAATATAAACAATAAATTGTTGTTACAGTAGATTTTTGAACCTCTTTGAACTCATGATAAAATATATTATTTCGTTAATGTGTACGAGAGGTTCGAGTTACAAATTTCTCTTTGTGATCTCTCTCTCTGCGTTTTTGTGATTCCCACCAAAGACAGTAGATGGAGTGTGGGTGATTTATTCCCTTAAAGACGACATGCACGTGCGATTGTGTAAAATAAAATATAAAAGATAAAGAAGAACTATATGTAAAGGGATTTTTCTATTTGCTGGTTAATATTTGTATTTTGTAATTTTAAATTCAATGAATAAGAACGAAAAATTTGTATCGGCTACTAAAACTTTATCAACTGACTGGATCGGGACAAAAAAACATTACGGGGCATTACGAGACAACAAAGTCAAAAAAATAAATTATGTTTGTAATATGAAAAGTAGACCATTATGCTTATGGTAAGAAAAGGAATATAGATATGGAAATAATCAGCAAAAGTTAAGAAGCTTATGTTTAACGTAGACATAGAAAAAAGAAAAACGAATTGGAAACTATGGAAAATTATATAAAAGGTATTTATAATTATATATAATTAAAAAAAAAACATATTTATAGTTTACAACAAGCTTACATTTTGCTTTTAATAAAATTCCGGAAATTTATGTAAACAAATTAAGAAACATAAAATTAAAAATTTACCACTTACGAAAGAGGTAAACCTAATATCTAAAATATCTAACCTAAGGAGATTGCCTGGATTGTCGGCCATTATTGTTTCTTTTTCTTTTCACTGTAGTGAAAAGAGTCGCAATGGTATCGTTCTAGCAGTTATTCTGTTCTGTACGAAAGGACCAGCTCGAACTGACTTTCTCTCCTTTACTTCTTCTTCTCTATATAACATCGCACCACTCTAAGCAGTGGTTTTCCCTTCATACCGTTTAGAAGCTCTCTCATTAGAAAGCTCTATTTTTCATTCCCTTTTATCTTAATCTATTTCTATAACAATTACACTGTGAAACTTACGACTACTAATCAAATCTAGGAATTCAAAATAATTCAAGATCTTAATTTAAACGCAATAAGTTAATTTGAAAACTAAATATTTTAATAACCAAAAACAAATTTTTTTTTCAAAAAGCATTGCAATTTTAGATAAGTGTTTTTAAGTGTTTTTTTAATAGAAATGAAACTTCCGTATTAAACATTTTTCATTTCAAATAATTTAAGAAATCAAAAGGTTGCTGAAAGTAATTGAATCAGTTTAATACTCTGAACTGAATTAATACTCGAAGCCTATAAGTGCATATTCCCACGGTACGGAGCAAACTCGGATTTTTGAGCTGGAATCAGTATCGAGGGTGCCTATATGCGCAGCGGATTAGGTAACTCCAAGAGATCGGTGGGAGACCGGGAATAAAACCCAAATCGGCATCCGCAAAGACCAGGACGAACTTGGATGACAAGGACGATAAATCAGATGACGAGCTATCTCGCAAGCACCACTGTTAGGAATCTGACCGCGAAGGCCCATGCTACGCTTAGTTCGTAAGTTGGGGAACAAGCATGAGATTGTTCCGTAGTGAACTCGTGGAGAAACCTGGACGGCAAGACGATAATGCTGGGCGAACCAGCAATACCAATAGAAGTTCTTGTGGCCAAGTTTAAGCAGCCGAAAGACAGATAGGTAAACCCAACGTCCAATGTCTTCAAGGGAAAGGTGGTCCCCTCAATCTATACCTCGGCTAAGACCACACCGATCCCGCCCCAATAAAACTCTTTTTCAGAATCTTGATGTTTGATTGCAACACGCTTTAACATAAATACTAAATAAGGCACAGGTGAACAATTTTCAAAGTTCAGGCAGGCAGACAGACAAGTTAATCTCAGGCTGGGAGCCCCGCTGCAGTGAATATTTTTGTACAATCAACCGGCAAAAAAAGATCTTTAATAATATAATTCATTATCGAGAGATATCACGGAGCTGGTACATTTAACTAACGATCACATGGGTACCCTGCCACTACGGCATAACAGATAGCAAACCAGTGTATCAGGCGAGGAAAGTGATCTATCCTAAATCACGGAGACCGTGGAGCACCTAATATGCACAACAAACCTGATCAAGAATTACAATACATATTTTATAAATGTTGACGAACAGCGACAGTAAGCGAATTCGAAGACTATTTTTTTTGTCCCACAAATCGCACAAAACTCTCACGCCCTCACTTTTAAAAAATAATTAAGGTTTTTTTTCATTTATTTTTTTTTTCCCAAATTTCTACCGATATCTTTTCGCAAGGGAACATATTTATTTGTGTTTTAGGGTATGGTAACCATAGATTAACCATCCGTCACAGGGAAACAGATATACAAAGTAGCCATATAACTAGTTCGACTCGCCACCTCAAGTACTGCAGGGTTAGCAAATGACTTAGTTTGTAACAAAATGTAAGCAATCTATTTTATACCCCTTACTTGAAGACGAAAAGCGTCTATTAAATTCGTTAAAAAGTATATAACAGGAAGAAGTAAGCGTTTCCGAGCATTTAAAGCATATATATAGTTGATCAGGATCAATAGCGGAGTCAATATGTCCTAATCAGTATGTCTGTCCGTCCGTCCGTCTGTCCATCCGTATGAACGCCGAGATCTCAGGAACTATAGGAGCTAGAAAGTTAGGATTTATTAAAAAAAAAAAATTTAATTTTTTTTCATTTAATTGTATTTTTTTCATTTCTAGCGATATTTTATAAAATATTGCAATTTTTTCATTCGCACTTCCACTACCTGAGTAACGGGTATCTGATAGTCGGGCAACTCGACTATAGCGTTATCTTTTGTTTTCATATTATTGTCTTACCAATTAATATCGATATGCAAAAAAAAAATTATGATGATTACAAATATTTACCGACCTTTATAAACATTATTGAAAAATATTAATTATTTCACATAAATATAAGCCCACAAGTATGCACCGCTTTTTGTTGTTGGTAGCGCTATGTTTGTTAAGTAATTGTCAGCCAATAATCGAATTGCAACATAATCATTGTATGCAAAAAGAAACGGGTAATAAATAAACGCTGTCAAAATAATTATTTAATAAGAGTATAATTTGCATTTTAATTTCTTAAATAGCTCGGAAGACATTGTTGCATTATTTTAAAATTAAATTCTCGTTTTTGAAGAATAATAAAATGATTTTGATTATAAATACTGGTGTACAAAATATGACAGTTGCTTAATCAAAGAATTCAATGTAAATTCAATTTTTTATTGCCTATTTCCTATTGCCTATAAAGGAAGTTCAAACTAAAAAGAAAATCATTTATTGTAACTGATTTCTTGTCAGTGTAATCTAGATAACATTTTTTACTGCATCATTTGAAGATATCTATTCTCCTCGAGTAAGGACGAAAGGGATGTTGTCATATCGTTGATCACCATATTTGTCCCATGATATGGATGTGTAGAGCTGCTAACATCAGGCCACAATGTTGTGTTTACCTGCATTCCCCCCGGAGGTGCTTGAATTGGATTGGTAACTGTGCTGTTCGTCTCCATCCAGTTTTGACAACTTTGTACATATTCCAGAGTACGCTGGTATGTATCTAAATGCATAACAGAAGAATTATTCGTCTGTGTGTCACAAACTATTTTTTGTGTTTCAGAGGAAAATAATTTGGATATTGTTATTGGTTGTATATTTGCGGTAGAAATCTGGCCTTCATTATTCAAATTAGTAGAAGGAGACATTTGAGACTGACTTATAATTCCGCATTGGATTTCATTATCATGGTCTCTGTGTACTTCAAAAATATTTTCTGTTTCGTTTTGTGTATATATTGAAACTACATTAAGCTCTGGCAAGCTAGTCATCGATGAGTCTATGATTTGATTAAAATTTGGTTTTTCTGTTTGTCGTTGATATGCTGGCGGTAATGGTGTTTGCTGCTTGATATCAATGTCAGTGTTTATAATTTTTTCACACTGGTGATGGAAGCTACCGCATTTGGCATGCCCATGTTCATTTGGTACAACTAGAGTACTTGATTGTCTCTGACTGAATGAACCCCCGATCGCCGTCATTGGAAATTTGTCTTGTATTGTATTTGTTGTATTTGGTTGTATATCAACGTTAGAAGGCGGTGCTAAAATTTGTTTATTGGAGTAATATATATTTGATTGTTCTCGGTAGTGGTTTGAAGTTAATGTTTCGTATACACTAGACCCCATAGCTTCAGTTTGATGTTCTTTTTCCGTATGATTTGTGTCTTCTTTTACCAAGCTTAAGTATTGAAGCATTTCATCGGGAAGTATAAGTTCTTCAACTTCATCCAGATTTATTCTTTCGTTTGGATGTTGGTCACTAGTCATTGCCATGTCAGCCTTAATTGGAACAGTGCACAGTTCCTTTCTTAAACTATCCTTATTAATAGACGATGCTATATTATTAGTCTTTCCAACAGTAATATCAAAGCTATTCGGTGTTGTACTTAAGCGAGGAATATTTGTTAATGAATCTAAATTTAAGTTTGGCACTGGCTCAGTTTGACGTCGTAATGTATTATTCGCTATTACTTTATCAAATTCGTTTTGTCCGACAGGATTGCTGTTTTTCATGTGTAGGGAATGCATACAACTAGGAATACAAAATCGACCGCTAGTGAAATTGTGATAACAATTTTCTGAATCTTTCCCCTGTAAGCGCTTTAAATTAGTTGCAATTAAGTGGGATGATGGAGGCGGGGGAAGACTGCTATTGTCAATTCCAACACTATTAACTCCAAGATTCGGTTTATTGATAAATGCATTCGTGCTGTTGTTCGAGTCCTTGTTTATTATAGGTAATCCTGATGTGGAAGAAAATGCATAGCAATTAGCACTATTTGACATTTGGCTAGAGCGCCGTGAGCACCCTGGTGAAATGGGATCATAAAAGGAAGCTGTAGTCGTGGTACACGTGGGGCTTGGTCGCATAGTAGGTATAGAAGACACCTGTGATGACTGACTGCTACGACGACTTTGCATACTACCGTAATAAGTGCTTGCAGTGGAATTTTGACTATCACGTCGAAACTGTCCTTGCACCGAGCCGGATGCAGTGGAAATTCCTTGCTTATTCAATACTGTATTACGAGAAGTTCCTTGGTTTTGTAAGAGTTCTTCAGGAAATCCTCCTATGGCCGTGTTGGTGGGCATAGGAATTTTTATTTCACCAGCGGTACCTGGCTCCATTTTCAGTTCTGTAATACGCTGATTAAGTTCGCTGATTCCAATGGTATGATTGCTTTCCGGAATGTTGCAAAGCATAATCGTACTTGAGTTTATACCTTTCGTTTGAAGACGACTTCTAAACCGTTGCCTAGCCAAAACAGCACCTCCAATAGTCGAGGCAGACGCATGTCCGCTACCAATATTCACCATAGCACGTAAAACAATTGGTAGGTCTGCTACGTCCACGTCGTCGTCACAATTCCAGCCGTCATCCAAATTAAGATTTTCAGCAACATCGTCTGGTGAATATGTTAGCAAACTGTCAGATGCTCGAACTCCATTTACTAACTGATGGTTAGATGAGCTAATATCTGATTCTGATTTAATGCTAGGACTAGACGTGCCTAAAATTTTTCCCATATGTGAGTCTTCACTGCAAGGGCTTGAATCGATATTGTGCTCTTGAAGATTATGCCGACTGTGACTGTTGTCTCGTTGTAACCGAGAGTTTACGTCATCTAAAGGTAATCCTTTATGTTTTTTATTTGCATAAAACTCAGCACCATGGACTGTTTTTACATGTTTTCTCAAAGAGCTTGGGTCGGTGTAACGTTTTGTGCATCCAGGTGCTTTACAAATGTACGGTTTCTAAAAATAGCTATAAATTAGAAATATTATTATTTAAACAGAGGAAATGTTTACCTCATTACTGTGTGTCCTGTTTTGGTGCTTTGCACGATCACTAGCATTACTAAAGGCTTTGCTACATCCCGGATACTCGCAAGTGTATGGTTTTTCACCTGTGTGTGACCGTAAATGTGTTTTAAGGTTTTCCAAACGTGAATACGCCTTAAAGCAGCCTTCAAACTAATTTAAAGAAGTTTAAAAAAGGAATTCAAATAAATTGTTTTATATAATTAATTAATCTTACCGTGCATTTGTGTGGCTTTTCACCGGTATGACGACGCATATGCACAACAAGCATATACTGCGCTTTAAATGGTTTTTCACCGCGAGTACAATCTTCCCATCGACAGACAAAAGCTTTCTTGTTAGTTTGGATATGGTCATTATTTATATGTTTAACAAGTTCATCTTGCGTAATAAATTCAATGCAACAGCTACGCCAATGACAATTCGTTTCAATGAAATCTCCGGGCTCATCCTTGATATCCGTTGTGTCAGCATTAGCGCAATCATATTCATTAGATGGAGTAGAAGCTGTTCCGCAATTAATATACTCATCCAAACGGGTGCTTACTTTAATGTCACCAGGAATGCTTTTAATATTATTTACTACGTTGTTGTAACAGCGGTCAGACAAGTGCGATGAGGCACTGTCAGCTTCTACTTGAGCTACGGCTCCAGATGTTGATGAAGGCTGCTCAGTGACCACATCTTTAAAATGTCCTTTTTTCCCTTTACCATCATCCAAGTTCTTCAACTACAGAATCGAAATAAAATTATAAATATTATAATATTATAAACTTTCTTTATTTTTAATCATGTGAAAATTACCGATAGTGCCGCCGCTGCAATCTGGTTTGGATCCTCATTGACAAGCCTTACAGTTGAAGATGTCGTTATATGGCTAGGTGAATCGCTTAGATTAGGATGTACGTCATTTACTCTCAAACATGCAGATGCTGACATATGCCCTATAGAAAATCCGGATGCCGCAACTTGTTGTGATGTCATCGGATTTAACAGACCTGCGCTTGCACGCAACAAATGAGCTTGTATCTGTTGTAGACGAGTTGAATGTACATGAGACATTGGATTAAGGGCGTTAGCAGAAATGTGACCGTATGAACCACTAGCCGTGCTACTTCCTCGAGAACCGTTCATAATTGTAGCTAAAGAATTTGGCGAAAATCGAATCATTGAATTAATATCAAATGAATCAGAATAAGGCGATGACGAAAGGGCCCGTTTGCGGCTTATGCTGGCACGTATACTTCCTCCTGGTGGTCGAGGCCTGTTTCCATCGACGCTAAAGTGAAAATCTGTACTGGCTAGAGATGATGCTGCTGCTGCTGCTACAGCCGCATGATGCAGTTCACCCAGAGAGCTCATGCCTCGGCTGCCCAAAAAATCACCTGATCCCAAACCAAGTCCGGCAAGATGGAACGCTGATGCACAATTTACATAAGGATCTAAAGATGCAAAATCCATACTTTTTAAGGTTACTTTTATACATGTGCAAGAAATGAAATACCGTGAAATGATGAAGTTGAATTACTTCGTTGTAAAGAATACAACTGTTCCATGTATCCGGGGATTCTATAAGCCGGATGAAAGTCGTGTACATGTGGCTGTCCAGTAACATTTAAATTGTGAACGTGTTGAGGCTGATGATTGTGCTGGTGGCCAGTAGCATTTGCAAGAGTGTTTTCATTGCATATTGGTGGTTGAATTGAAGTTTTAATTGAATCTGATGGTCCAACCGTTTGAATTATTGATGGAACTGTTACCGAGCTTGAAACGTCAGTGGGGTGAAGTTGGTTTATACATGGGGATCCTGGTAATACTGTTGCCGCTGCAGCGACTGCAGCTGCTCGTCTGGATGCTAAAAACTGCAATTCAGAATACCTATAGAAAAATAAATACATTTTTTGGGTAAATTTTTAAGTTAGTATTATTTAAACAGATACGACTTAAGCTTAATCAATACGAGTGCATTTTGGTCGCAGCATATTTTAATTAAAAATTATGTGATCAGATGAACGTCTCTACGAAAAAGAAAATCAGGTAAAAATATCGTGTTTATACCCGCGTATACCCATCTCCGCCCGTTTACGGAGGGACACCCGAGATCTCAGGATCTTTAGATGCTAGAGATTCAGATGAATCGTGAAATTTCTAGTGCAAAGCTAGTTTCAAAGCGTTGTCCCGCGAATGTAACGTCCAATAATATAACAAAAATGATTTGATTATTTTTCATTTAGCCATTTACATGGCTTTTGATTTAAAATACGGCAGCCCACTTTGTGGCAAAGAGCAATTTGCTGGTAAGCATAAGCAAATACTTCAGCTACATTTATATAAAAAAACCTGCTGTAAAAAAGGGATTTTAAACTAATAAGGTTCAAGAGAAAGATCGATAAAAGTGAAAATTAAAAAAAACTGTATATCAGCTAAAAATACGTAGCGAATAACAACTTCGTTGATTTCGAATTCAACGTTGGAAAAATATACAACTCCTGAACCTACAAAGTTATACACCGTTATACTAGATTCGTAAGAGAGTATTTCTCATAAAAGGTAAAAAAAGCGTTTTTTGGTCTGATCCTAAATACTACTAAATGTTACAATTTAAGATTAGCCATGCAGATTCAAGTGACATCTCCCAAAATCCGAAAACCAAGTCACACCCACATTTTTTAAAATATTTTAATTTATTATTTGGGATATATTTTTTATTTAAATATTTTTTTTTAAAAAAAGTTTCGATTTCAATGCTAGCCTTGTCACTAATATCTTTGAATACATCGTGTAAAACTAGATAAATATTTGTAACAACTTTGTGCCAGATTAGAGACGAATTTTGTCGATTTCTGTCAACATGCCAAAATCATTTTGTGACTGCTTACTCGTTAAATTCGACTATTGCGTTCTCTATTGTTTTAGGTGAAATTGGTGGGAGAAAAATAATAGGCAAAAACCACTGAGTTCCTAAATAAATTTGCGCTATTTTATAACTTATATATATATAACTAAAGGGAAGTTTTAATTGTTACTTATCCAAACAAATTATATAATGAAAATAAACTTATATCATAATACATTTTTTTAGATTTTTAAATCAAAAATGAGATTTTTTTGATCTTTATTATTATTTCGTTTTTTAATTGATTTCCACTTTCTTTCCCTTGTGAATTTTCACATTTCGAAATCGGTTAGAATCTCTTGTCTATTGTAAGGCTTACTTTTCGAATATACATACAAATAAAAACTTACGCAAGTGGAAAATATGTTGGTAACGCGTAGGCGTCCATTTTAATGAAGTTAGTCCACAACAAGGACGACGATATTTTATGAATTCAAGAAACCGAACAGCATATATCCTTTTATTTAATATTCACCGTCGGCGTGAAAATTTTTGACAGAGAGGCATTTCATCAACTTCCACAAATTAGTTTCCACTTTTTATTAGCAATTTCAACAATTTTAAGGAAACTCTTTCATTAAAACGTTGGACAATGATTAATACATTGTAGTATATAATACTCATATCACATATTTTAATTGTGTAAGCTTATGCTCTCGGCTTTCTAGGTAATGAATTTCATCGCGAAATCTCACACGTGCATAAGATTAACAGTCCGGAACTTATATATTTATCACAAAATTTTAAGTAGGGAACAATAAAAATTAGTTTTGTAAGACAAGTCAATAATTTTCGAATGCTGCGTCTTATTCCTGTGTTTCTTACGAGTGGACTGAGCGACATTAACACAAGCTGTTGCAATGCTTCGTTAGTTTAGATGGAGCAGTTCAGATCTCTTCTCACAAATACCATTGTCCAAACACAGATACTGGTATAGATGCTTCATAGATACATGTTGGTTCACAAACATAAACACAATACAGTAACAAGTGCATTGGCGATTTAAATGTCTGTGTGTACCTACGGATCACAAACAGTCGGCGAAGGCGGGCTGATCGAAGATGGCTACACAATACATACATATGTATAAGCGAGTCAAGATACTTTTCGGTGCCAGTGCTGTTAGCCTGGATATTTTTACGCTAGCATGTGGTAAAGTGCCATTCCTTCAATTTTGTGTCACAGTCTTACTCTAATGTGTTTAAGCTCGTGCACTTGCCATTGCCAAAATATTATTATTTATTTATTGAAACAACACTTACTCTTATAACCGCTTTGTCAAGTCGAATATTCCATTTACCTATTGTATTCAATATGTCCATATCAATATATGTATATGTGTATACATAAAAATATCACAATCGATCAAGACACTCATATGTACATACATTCGGAATTGTTTCTTGTTATATCGAGACTGGTCTGGTAACGTTTGTGCAAGATTTTTGTTTTGCGATCAGGACACTTAAAGGATCGCATTTTTATCCGTATCTTATGGAGGTATTATATTGGGTATAATTGTTTTTTTAATATTATATGACGATGATATACTCGGTAATCTAAGAGCAAAAGTGAATATAAAAATAATTTGAAAGTATGTAACAATTAAAAGATTTCCAACCATATTAAGTATGTACGTACATACATATATATGTATAAATGTCCCCATAGAAAAGTCGATTAAGCCCAAAAAATGTTACTCCTCGCACTAACTCATACATACATATAACAAGATCGCTTTAGCAGCTCTTAAAAATTTGCTCATAGAGGATATGTCTAGATCGAATCGGCTGAAAAGTAATGTATATTCTTTCTTTCTATCGATTCCTTCGATCTGATACATACATTTCTACAATTAGAGTAAGCACCTGCAATGTAGAAGAAATGTTGGGCTCTAAAACGTGAGACAAAACTAACTTAAGACTTAAGCATACTTTATGAAATGTAATATCAAGTAAATAAATTCATGTCAATCAATGTACTTTTTGAATGATGAAAACGAACAGTAATTTATATACATATATGTCTGTGTGTAACGAAACAGGTATTTAATAGTCTTGGCATAGGATTTTAGAGGTACTGCTTAAACAAAAATAAAATTGCTAAGAAGTAAAGACTTTATCGAACATATAAGTACATATAATTAACAAAAGCCCAGGTTGAACAATTAAATAACATTTAGATTAGTAGTCCTTTTCACATCTGTGTACAAAATTTATATTCATATTTATGTAAATAGTTTACAGCTTTGGTAACCGATGTTTTGAAAAAGACAGACATAGAAAGAAAGGAAATAATTGTTTTCATATCATGTTATTATTTTTCGATAAACTTAGTTGTACAAGAATACAAATATGTATTGTACATAGTTTTCGGAGAAATAATCCTACGCGTCTGAAGTTTTAAATTAGGAACCACCTTTTAAAAAGATTTTAAATAGTTAATTCATATATTTATATTTTTGTGCGGTAGATGGAATGATTTTGACAATTTTTGGTGTTTCTGTAGAGAGTTTTATAGTACTCTAAAGAAAAAGTCTTTAGCAAGCCTCCATGGGTTTTGTAATTTGTGAGCGTTAGGGGGATGGCATAAAAAATAATAAAGGTACATACATAGATCAAAAAATCTAAATATCTTTAAATGTGTAGGTGTGACAGTTTTGTATACAATATTATCCTGGGACTAAATAATATTTTGTTTACTTATACAATGTTATATTATAATATATAATATATATAATATATACTATATTATTTTATATATAATACATACTATATTATATATTATACTGTATTATACTGTATTACATACTTTATTGCATTGTCGTCCTCGTTAACGTAGTGGTCTTAATAGAAAGTTGGTATACCCAGTTTATTTAAAAAATATTAACTATTCTAACACTAGCAAAACTTTCACATCCGTATCTTGGAAAAAATGTCAGATTATTACATGTACAGTGGCTCACAGCTTATTTCAACCACCGTCTATCTGAAACTTCAACGGTCTGTAAAAGCAGAACTAAAAATTTTATCAAAAAAATTTAAGCGCAACATATTTCTTGAATGTTTCAGGATATTATTTACTAGCTTATTTTATTTTTAATAATTTTTTTAGTATTTTTTAAGAATTAATAATGAAAATGTACCTCAAAACAATGCAATAGCCTATTTCAACCAGTTTGTAAAATTAGTATTTTTCTTATGCTTAAAACTATTACATTTTTTAAAAAAGTGTGTGTGACCTCCTTTGTTATTAACAACCATTTTAAGCCTTTTCGCCATCGAATCCACTCATTTTTGGGTAAGTTTTGGGGTGATTTTAACCTTAAACAGATATCTTTAAAACTCTGTCAAGACTAGAAAATAAGTTGAAAGCTTCCTAACTAAATAAATTAAAAACACCTCCTGCAAGGGTATGAATAAATATATGTACATACAAATGTACATATAGATATGTATATTTTGATGCTTCTTGTCATAGTTAAAATATACATACATACATATGTATGTAATTGTCACAATTGCTGAATATGTACATATGTATGTATATGTTTATATATCTATAGAAATTTATTTATTTGTTACAGGTCTGATTTTCACTGTTATACTTGGATATTCGATTTCATATTTGTTTAAATAAGGGTAGTCATAATGTCAATTTTATACCAACTGTTTAATAGCCCAGGACAATTAATTTCCCAACGTCAAACAATGTACATATATATGGATTGTATAGTATTGAACATATATATATATATACAATACATGTGTATGGTGTGGGTGTGTATTTCTGTCCGGCTTTAAAAGCGGAAAAATAACATTTTTCCTGCAAGTGCACAGCAGGATTGAGTATTGTATCGTCAGATAGTCTTGATACACATGCCTTTAGCGTTAGTAGTATATCTATATGTATAAATATATGTACGTGTGTGTGTATGTGCCATCCCTTTTATAATTTAACATCTTACTCAAATCTTCTCTCTATAAAAGAAGCGGACACATGCCGTGCTTCTGCAGCTTACACATACATACTCATATCTGTATGTTTGCTTAACGTGCATTCGTGTGATTTTCCAGACCTTATATGTATGTAAATATGTACACATGTATGTATGGACATATAAATATCCACACCAAAAAATCGTATTTGCAGGTACGTCTGTACGATTATTTATGTATGTACATATGTGTATATATACACATACATATGTATCTATGTTTGGTGGTCCCATTCCCTTTTTTTATGACAAACGTTTTGTCGGTTCTTGGTAACTACAAAACCAGAATTTTTGTAATACATACATATGTACATACATATTTATAAGTATTCAGTCAGAAATATATATACATGCACATTTATATATATGTACGTCTGAGTACATATTTTCCCATTCACACGAAGCTATTACCTCCCACCAACTCCACCACTCCAACCAACAGTCGGACACACACAAAAGTATGTACATACCTAAATATTTTTAAACGACTTCGCAAAACTTCATAGTCTGCTCAAAACTACCAGAGTGCGTGGATCATTCTTATACATACATATTTGTATGTATACGTATTATAAAACATATGCACATTCATAAATATTTAGTTACTTAAAATGTACATACATATTTTTTCAAGAATTAAATAACTATTTACAGATTTATGTCTGTTCATTTAATATTTTATATTTAATATTTTAATGTTTATTTAATTTTTTTCGACTTTTGGCTTGCATTGTATAGCGGTGTACCCAATGACTTTATTTTCTTCTCCTTTTCTTTGGTCCAGTACAAATTTTAAAGGCTTAATTAGTCAGCGGATCGGAACCGAAAAGGGGAAAAATGTTGGGCTTTAGCGGTATGCACTCACTATATATGTATGCACACATAGATAAGTGTGTTTGCCTATATATGTAAGTATACATGCATATACACAGACATATACAAATGTATATACATACATTCAAGCCGTAAACGTAAAATGTCTTCTTGAATCCAGTTTCTTTTTCGATTAAGACGGAGCAGGCACAGATTGAAGCATCATCATTATCAAGAAACTGAGCCGAGAAGACCTTTGAAATAATGTTGTCCGTCGAAGCTAAAAATATAAAAGGAAAAGCAGACAAACAAACAGGAGCAATAACAAAATTAAGGGAACGGTTTTAGGTTTTATATGTACATACATATGTACAATGTATGGTACATACATGTATAAATTAACCTTAACTTTTATATGTATGTATAGAGTATAGTAATTTATTAATAAAAAGTATTTACACGCTCACAACTTTTTGCTTGATTGGAGCAGGTATTTCTAATAAAGACATTCTTAAGTCTTAAGTCTTAAGGGGTTAAGGCTTTAAACTGGATATTGCATACATTCATATTTACATATGCAAGTACATATGTATGTATGTTTGTACATTCTCACAAGCGTCAATACACATACAGCCGTGTGATACTTGTATAAATATTTCGAAAAAGAAATCCGAAGAGACTATTAGTATGTATATGCATATATATGCGCGTGTGAATTAGGGCGGACTTCAGCTTTATTAGAAGTCCTGCACTACCACCTTTTTAAATTAAGTGAAAGCTCTCATCGAGGCTAGGTACATACATACATAATATGTACATAAATACATATAATTTAGAGTACTACTTTTAGTTCTCCCATTTATTTGTTAAATTATAAGAAATGTAATGAAATTACACATTAAACGGTGGCCTCGGGATAAGCACATTCTTCTGTAGTCTTAATCATGTATAATTTTTGTTTTTAAATGAAGGGTTAGATTTTTTATTTCGTTGCGTTATTGTTTTTGTCCTTTTACATAAGTCGTATCATTCAAAAACAAAGTGCGAATACCGTGGCCATCACTGTATAGAGCATAACTGATTCCACAATCAACGATTTCATGTTTGAGCATTCATAAATAGTTGATTTGGAACTTAGTCTCTAACTATTCACTGAAAAATTAAGAGGTTGTCTTTTGATAAAGAAAGTAGTATTATTTCCCTGACTAAAAGTTGATGTTCGACACGCACTATTGCTGAGAAGCTGCAAATTAGTCAATCAGTGGTTGTCAAAGTCCACAAAAGGATAAAAATGTTTGTGCTGAAAAGTTGAATGGTCGCCGTCTCTTCTAAAAGACCCTGACGCTCGACTTATGATGTCTAAAATGAGAAAAAATAGACTTTTAACGGCAAAAGATGCTTCTACAGAAATAAATAAAGGCGTGAGTCGGTGGACAGCTAGAAGAGCGCTTAGGGTAGGATTGGGCACGTCGCAGTAGTGAATACAACAAACCAGCTTTATCCGAAAAAAAATGTTAGGGCTCGGCTAAAAATCGCAAAGGAACACAAGGAACAAGGAACAACTGGACAATAGAATACTGGAAACGTGTTATCTGGTCGGGCGAATTTAAGTTTAATCGTTTTCAATCGGATGGAAAGCAATACTATTGGCGGAGACCTGGTGACAAGCTTCAAATGCATCATGTGAAGCAAACCGTGAAACATGGAGGTGGCAACATAATGGCATGGGACCGTTGCATAAAATTGACGGGATTATGCAAAGGAAGACTATTTGAGCATTTTGCAAACCCATCTTCACAATTTTTTTGTCCAGCGTGCGTACCAAGAGCAGGAAATCACTTTTCAGCAAGATGGTGATCTCAAGTACACTGCGAAAATTGTTAAAGAATAGCTCGGGAACCAAAATTTTAAGATTATGGAGTGGCCAGCGCAAAGTCCCGACCTCAAACTGATTGAAAACCTATAGTCAATCGTAAAGCGACGGCTCGCACAGTATCAGTTAGCCCCATCCAACTTGGACAGTCTTTGGGGGCGTGTAAAACAAGAATGGAATAATATGTCGAAAGGAATATTCGAAAAATTAGTTGAAAGTATGCCAAAACGTATGACAAATGTCTTAGAAAATAAGGTCTCTGGACAAAATATTAAAAATGCATTTATTATGAAGTTTTTCTTAAATGGTGCAAAACATGCCGATTTGTTTTTTTTTTAATTATTACTATTCTATAGCTTCTTCAATTACTTTATTACATACGCCTTGTTGTAATTATTAAACAAAATATAAAAGTTGTATCACTTACTTCGTTCGCTTAGTCTTATGTGCTCCCAAACATGTAAATTTTAATCGTGGAATCACTTTTGTTTCCCACTGTACATATACATATTTACAAATTATACATATATCTTAAGAAACTAAAAGACTGTAAGTTATAATGGCTCAATTGCCATGCCTAACAAGGTGTGTACTGGGAAAACACATTTTTTATAGGCGGTCTAAGTAAAAAATTGGAAATGAAAAATCCTTTTTATCCTGCACAATGAAAATCAAAATAAGATAGTTAAAAAAAAAAAAACTAATTAGCTTTAATTAACCTACGAGTTTTCTTAATTCTGACATTTATAGAAGAAGAAATCTCCAACATTGGGTGATGGTCAATAATTTATCATCAGTGAAACACCTTTAAGTCATACATGTTACTCATAGACAAAACGAGTATACTTTTACTATCGTTACTTACAACTGGTATATTAAATTTGTTGTTGTTACAGTAAAAATTTGTTGTTGTAACAGATAAAAGAAAACGTTTAATAGCGATTCAAATATGTATGTATTATGCTTCATCAACCACATGAGCGTAAAGGTTTCGAAAACTATAAGAACGATAAGCTTGATGTTAAGCATGTAGATTCAAGGGACGTAGAATTTGTGCATCTTTGTTTCAGAACATTTCCATGTTCTCACAACCCGTCAACTACTTTACGCCAAATCTTTAAATTAAGCTTAAAAACATTTTTAACCCGAAAAAATTTTCAAGCCTACATTTTTAAAAAATACGTAAATTTTTTGTTTGTTCCAATTTTTGAAAATATGCAAGCAAATGCCACGTCCACAAATTACAATTAAAGAAAGCGATAAACGATATATATAATCGATCTAAACTAATCAGTCACGGAACTATAGAGTTTATTTCTTATTTCTTAATAAATTCCAATGTGGTGTAGTGACTGACAATTTAGAAGTTTCGTTAAATTTCTTCTAAATGATTACGATGGAGAATTTTTAATTGGTGTTGGTAGGTGTTGCTAAAATGTTTTTGGCACGCCTTTATAGCTTTGGCGTTGCTACCGTGCGAACCGTAAAGGACCTGAATAAAAAATTACCCCTTCAAATGGCTAAAGAGAGTAAAGGAAGAGTGTTTTAAATTGTATTACACGATGGTATTATAACTTGTAGACTCATTCAAGCGGTAGTTCCGGTATTGCGCATACAGATGTGTATTGCCATTATTTTTAAGGTAAATTCCGTATTCATGTGGGACTAATATTTAAAAATAAAACATAAATATGTACTAACAAATCTATTTATTTGGGTTAATGGACATAGAAACATCACTATTTACTTTATGCCGATGGCAAATTCTGTGTCGAATATAACGAGTTTATTTGGGAAGTGTATACGCATTGAGTAACGTGGCTAACAAAAAACTGCAGTTCATAAAACACAAAATGATCACAAATTATTTGGTAATGTAAATTTAGATCGTGTCTACGATCTACTTAAATAGAAGGAAATTATACTTTCGATTGGGTTAAGTTGAGTAATCAAAACAAGATAATATGCTATAGTCGAGTTCCCCGACTATAAGATACCAGTTACTAAGCTAGTGGAAGTGCAAACGAGAAATTTAAAACTTTTCTGGTAAAAAAAAACTTAAACATTAGACCTAAGCGTTAGAGTTTTGGGCGGTTTGTGCACGTTCGAGTGGGCGTGGCAAAAAGTTTTTTCGCAAATCTATAGAAAGTTACTAGATATGTATATAAAAAAGGGAAAAAAATATCACATTTTTCAAAAATATTTTTTAATTTTTTTATTAGTCTTGTAATATCTATCGATTTTCCAAAAATTGTTTTGCCACGCCCACAAACCGCCAAAAAGTGCCACGCCTACACTTTTGAACAATTTTTACCGATATTCCAGAAAATTATGAAATTTCTCGCAGGCTCCGAAAACGCGACTATAACATTCCATCTTGTTTTTATTTCATGATAATGTTTTAAAAATTACATTTTGTTATCGGCCAATACCGATGTTGTTAAAACCTTTCCACACTAAACTGAGTTTCCTATCGATATCAAATAAAAGGTAAGATAAGTGTTCACACTGTGTTAAGACCAAGTTTAAAAATAAACTACAAGTTCACCGATGTAAAATATCATTATATACTATTCGTTTGGGGGACCTCTATATTTGTAAATCTTTATCAAAGTCTTCAGGCCAATTACATTTTTGCTGATATGGCCACCGTGAGAGTCCGACACGAATTCCATGATTGTAATGTGTTTTTATTTCACTTCATTAATTTTTTATTCATGTATTAATTATTTAATTTAAACTTATTTATGGTTTTGTTATATATATTCTTTGCACACATTGTATGGCAAGTTAACCGGAGGTATCGAAATAATATAGCGAAAGCCATACAAGCCACGTGGACCAATTTCAAGTCACTATTAGATAACTGAACATATAGAATGAAAACATTTTTGTTGTATATTTATTTAATTATTTTGTATATTTGTTTTTAAGAGTTTATTTCTGAAATCCAACTTCGGCGCATTGTAGGAAGATAATGAACTAAACTAACACAAGCTAATCTATTTATAAAGTTGATATATGTACTTTATTAAAATGTATCTGTATAATAAGTTTCCCGATTTTAGGAAGATTTACATATACCTCCCGTTTTTAATTTCGATTTTCTCAAGATTTACCGAATAACCGAAAAACTATGTTACTTAAACATAATCTGCGGTAATTAACATTAAACTAATATTTTTTTCATATTCCTTGGAGTTTATGTACATTATTCGACCATCAGATGTTCAATTAGTTTCATAAATGATTTTTGAATAATTGATTTATAATCTACATCTTTTGCAAATCCGAAAAGTTCACCCTACTACCAAAACAGCTGAGTAATTTATTGAGTTATGTGCCGGATATCGCAGTTGAAGGTAGATTCCGCCTTCACAATTAATTCTTTAAAGAAATTTTTATGAAAAAGTCGGAAAGTCATTAGATTTTTAAAATTGTTTCTTAGCATTATCTTAAGAAGGAAGAAG